CAAAGTACAAGAGTAGTGAGGCTGGCAATTCAGGTATGCCAAGGAGAAAATGTAAAGTACTTCTTTCAAGTGAAAAGGTGAGTACAGTATAAAATATTTTGAGAGAGACCACATTCACATAACCTTTAATATAGTACATTTTAATGATTACTCTATTTTAATATTTTCATCGGTAATCCTTATTCTTCTTATAATGGTCCCAAAGTACAAGAGTAGTGAGGCTGGCAATTCAGGTATGCCAAGGAGAAAATGTAAAGTACTTCTTTCAAGTGAAAAGGTGAGTACAGTATAAAATATTTTGAGAGAGACCACATTCACATAACCTTTAATATAGTACATTTTTATGATTGCTCTATTTTAATATTTTCATCTTACTGTGCCTAATTTATAAAGTAAGCTTTATCATAGGTATGTATGTATAAGAAAAAAATTATATATATTTCATTACTATCCATGGTTTCAGGTATCCACTGGGGATCTTGGAACATAGCCCCACAGAGAAAGGGGGACTATTGCCTACCTCTTGGGCCTTAGCAGTATGGTGTTAATTGCTAATGTTTGTTAAAGAGTAGGCACTCTCAGGGTTTCTTGCATTGTAATATGGGCCATAAAATGAGCACCAAAAACCTAAAACAAAACCTGTAAGCCATTACAACTAAAAAAAGTGAGGTATTAATTGATAGGAACAGAAACTGCTCTTTTGAGTCAAGGGCCACTTTAATTCAACAGGCAATCACCTATTCAGCTCTCTCTGTCATGATAGACCAATGTATTTTGCAAGTGCTAATATGATTCATTACATGATACTTTTCCTTCTAGGTCATTATAATTACCTAGTATTGACCAAAGTTAGCACTTGGATTCATAACTATGGGATTAGGCATGCAATCTGCAAGTTTCCTTTTAAAAAGTAGGGTGAGCCAACCTAACAAGGGTTACAGTAATTCGTCAAGAAGGGTGCCTAATGAATCTTTACAGCTATGTTTTCAAAGAATACTGACCTTAAAAGAAAAATCTCTGGAATATTGTTCATCATTGTTAAGAAAATTGATTGTTCAACAAATATTAATTGAGCTGCTAATATGTACTGTTTGACACTGGTTAACAAAATAAACTCACCCCCCACTTTTATACAGTTTGCATTCTAGCGAATCTCTCAAGAAAAAAAAAAAGTAGACGTGTCTCAATTGTAACAACAATTAAATAATTTTATGCCCTTAAATCAAGTGAAATGATAATATCATATGATTAAAAACTCTGGAAGGACAAGAACCTGGTTTGAATTTTTGTGTATCTAAAGCATGTAAACATAGTAGTTACACAGCAGGCATTCAATAAATATCTGTTAAATGAATAAATGTTTTCAAGTTATGAATTGTTGTGAATGAGTGTTCAAATTTATCAACTGCTCTACAAATGAAGAGATTTCTTTTAGGTTAACTACACAATGGCTCAATGGTCAACCTACTTATTTAAAATATTCTGTCAATTTGGATGATGGATAAAGCATCTGCTGCCATAATTTCTCTGACCAAATGTTCTGAGGTCAGGTAACCGGAGTCTCTTTTTCAAATACAACCCTTAGATGGGCATTTTATTAACAGTGTTTGATTTCTAGTGATTAAACGTTGGTTGATTCTCCCTTAAGTAACTATTAGACTACCCACTCTCTTGAAATAATATAAAACAATCTTAGAAACATACAATAATACAAAACATATTGAAAAATCCTCTATTCCCTTAAAAATATTCAATAATGTCATCATCCATTAAAAATAATACCAAACATTTCAAAAACAGTTTTAGTGACTGTATTTTGTTATTCATTTCTAAGTTTTCCTTAGCAAGTATTAATTAGGTAGACAAACAGTGTGGACTGTGCATGATTGCAACCCCTTTCAGGTATGACAGGAGAATTTAAGTCAGATGGTGGTGTTATAGCACCACTATGCTTTCCTTGGGACCACTCCTATGTGCGCCACATTCTCTATGCTATGTTTTTGGCTCAAAAAAAGAGTGAACTGAAGGCAATTTAATATCACAGATGCTGCTCTGTTCTGCACTTGTGCAGGTACTCAGCAAAAAGATTCTAGAGGGGGATGTCTTCCCTGCCTTTTCCCTCTACCACCAACCTCTCCTAACTTCCCACCCTTTCCCCTTATTCCCTCCAATACAGTCTCAGATAGCTTTTGCCTAAGAATTTTATGATGATATTCAAATGATTTTGGATTATTTTAAAGCTTGAGAGATGATTTAGGAATGTAGGTGCCATTTATATTGGACATCTGTCTTTCACTGCAGTTATATGTTTCCATGAGAAATTTTGTTTCATGGAGAAACCAACATTACAAGGAAAAATGACACACTTAGAAATGAAATGGGAAGACCCTTCCAGAACAAAATAGATTTACAAATGCTGCAACTTTCTGTTGAGCAAGTTTTAAAAGAATCCTTTGCAGCCTTGAAAGTCAGGGGAAAAATGAAGTCAGTCTATTGGACATAGTAGGTTTACATTCTTATGGGCTAAGTGTGTCAAATTTTAGGGAAGAAAAGACAAAACGAACAGAAAAAAAATGACAGTCGAGAAATATTTCAACATGGATTCAATTGTCTCTTTTCCCCTCCGAAAGGTCACTTATATTAGTATAGACCCCAGTCAAATAGTACATTCTGCGAGGTGAGTTTTTATTGAAATGTACTTCTATTTAGAAACAATTCTTATGCTGCCCTGGATGTCTTCCTGTCTCAACTTCTTCCTCAGCAGATATTTATTCAGTAATTTCATTGATTTCTACACCTTTTAAATACATGCTCTGAAATTTAAAATATTTATGCCATATACTTGCAGGATACTTCATCTTTCCATTTGCTCCCGTATACTTAGATATAAATCAACCTGGGAAACTAAATGATGTGGTAAAGTACATTTACTTTCCATTGAAAATGAATCGGACTTTTTGTTTGGTGGTTAGCATTTCCTCTTTGTTCCTGGCAGGTTTTTGTCGTCTTTATTTTCTTTCTCTCGTTGCACATGTTGATCCTTTTGAAAAATGAATGTTTGCCAAGTCTAGTCTGAGTTGAAAGAGAAGGTAGGGGGTGGGTGGATACTACAAATTCTGACCAAGATTATTAACAATTGATTTCCAATATAGAGGCAGGCTATGTGCCTGGTTAAGCAATTGAATTACAATTACAATGGTTGATATTATAAATCATGCTTTGGGAAAATGAGTTTTTGAGACTCGTGATGCCTGGGCTCATTTTAATTTTTCACTTGTATCTTAAGGAAAAAAGAAGCACACGTGGAAGATTTTAGGAGTTGTCCCTTCCTCTAGTGGCCAGTTGCTACTTGTAGCTCTATGCTGTGTTCTAGAAACAGGAAGCAAATTCATTACCTGGATAGCTTGTTATCGAATGTAGAAGAAAACTGTCATCTACTTTATTTGGGGTGTGTTTTTATAAATGCCGAGGGAAACTTTTTGTCTCAAAGTGCTTGCTTTGAATTTGCACCAGTGACCAAAAAAATTCTTCATTTGGTTTGGATATGGAATATACAATTTCAAGAATTTTAGTGGTTTAAGCCATTTCTTTTTGAAATGGTATTTCTTCCTTTACTTCCAAAATGTCCTGCTATTCATGTGATATCCGTTTTGCAGTGGTGTTCTATGTATGCCAACATTGGGCGCTACTACTGCACATGGCTATTAACAAAGAATTTTCAGTAAGGCAAATATTAAATAGCATCATCAAATTTTAGTGCCGCGAGTTTGTGTAAGAAAAAAAAATGACGCATACAATCAGATCCTGCAAACCTTTTCAGTAGCTTGCCTTTACCAATAAAATGAGGACTTGAGAGAAATATGGCTTTGATTTAGACACTCACGGGAAATATTTTAAAATACATTAAACAAGAAAGCGGTGCTTCTAGGCAGAGTAAAGGAAAAACATTAAAATTTCATAATCATTCTAGAATTTGCTAGATAAATCAACACTGCTATCAGAATACTACTCCAGACAATGAACGTACTGTGAGCCTAAAGTTAAGGGAGAGCTTGTAAGGAAAATTATAGCTGCACAAAAACATTGAGACTTCCAATTTTTAAAGGCATTAAACATTAAGGATAAACACGTACTTTGCTCATTTCCTCGGATTAAGCATGGTATTTTAGAAAAGTGTGCACTTTCCCCATTATACCCATCAACTTTTAAACAGGCAAATTTCAATCTGCATGTGGTCATGAACAAGATTTGACTTGTGTCTATTTGCATGGGTTAAAACCAATCAAAGTGCTGAGCACAATTAATGGGAAGTACCTAATTTGTAAGTCTGTTTGCATTTCAACTAAAAGGACTTAAAAGTTAAGAATCATGAACTACATCTTTAGGGTGTTTGTATTTCAACCACACTTACTTAATGAGAGAAATATGAATATGCTTTTCTGCTTAGAATTTTGGTATTTAAATACCACTAAAGCTGGGCTACCTAATTACCATTATTGAATTATTGTAGCTACGACTTTGATATCTAAAATATAATTACCAGTGATTAATTCTCTACTGTAAAAGATCTGGCTGTAATTAAGAAACAACACATTAACCTCAATTTACAACTCCTCCTCTTATTTTGTAAGAAGTGAACTTTCATAACGTGTAAAAACCAGAAATAAACTCAAATACAGAACTGAAACATATCATGTTAATTTAGCCACAACCTGAGACTTCACGTAGAAGTGTATTACATGTGTACTATTCAAAGAAAGATCTAAAAGAGTACTGCATAAAATTGGTGGCAACATTTTCAATCTGCTGCTTGAAAATTGGCTTTTTCCCCCCCTAGAATTTATATGCCCCATTCACCACTGTTCTGTGTCAGATACATGGCTATAAAATTGCGAAAATGGAGGCTTTTCTGGTAGCAAAAGGGTTAAGTTCTTTTTGCTTTACCAGTTTCAAATTACAATGAGAAGCCTCTTCTCTCCCAGCAGGGTTGTGCTTACATTACTCTTTAGATCTCCCTTGAAGAGGGCTGGTATATTTGTGCCTGCTGGAGGTGGAATTAACTGTAAGAAGGAGAAAGGGAGTGAATGGACTTAGAGGACGGTTTTCAAGTAAATACAGGGAAACACATTTACTTGAATAGTACAACCTTGAGTCGTATTTGACACTAAGACGACACAAAAGATGTTAAAGTTATCACCAAGCTGCCGGACAAATAGATATTCCAACACCAAGGTGCAGATCAGCATAGATCTGTGATGCAGAAATCAGGATTTGTCTTGGAAAGAGCTTCAGGGTTGAGAAGAACTCAAGAGCAAGTGAAGATAACTTTGGGAACTACAGTTTATCAGAAGATCAACTTTCGTTAATTCAAATACCAAAGGCCTGATTATCATAAATTCATATAGGAATGCCTAGGTCATCTGATCAAATAATATTAGCCGTCTTCTGCTACATCAATGCAGCAAAAACTCTTAACAACTGTGGATAATTGGAAACTTGAGTTTCAGCTTTCTTAGAAATAACTACTCTTGACATATTCCAAAATATTTAAAATAGGGCAGGAAAATCAGTGAGGATGTTGGGTACAGAAATGTCACTGTCATGAAGAATAGGTAAATTTGTTTTTTCTGCTACTGGGAAATTGTACCTCCTTGAAACTTAGATTCTTTTTTAAGAGGACAAGAAGGACTAAAAACATCAACTTTGCTTTTGGACAAAAATGCATCTGAGTGTATTTTTATTTAGGGGTATTGTGGGTTTCCTCTGGAGCTGCTGGGTTTTACTGGGTTATGCAAAAGGAGGTTTGGGAGACAATCATGTTCACTCCAGTTTTATTTATAGAAGACTACGGAACCATGAAAGACGGGAAATACAGAGGGAAATTCTCTCTATCTTGGGTTTGCCTCACAGACCCAGACCATTTTCACCTGGAAAGCAAGCTTCCTCTGCACCTCTCTTCATGCTGGACCTATACAATGCGATGGCCAATGAAGAAAATCCTGAGGAGTCGGAATACTCAGTGAGGGCATCCCTGGCAGGAGAGGGCAGAGGAGCAAGAAAGGGATACCCAGCCTCTCCCAATGGGTATCCTCGTCGCATACAGTTATCTCGAACGACTCCCCTGACCACCCAGAGTCCTCCTCTAGCCAGCCTACATGATACCAACTTTCTGAATGATGCTGACATGGTCATGAGCTTTGTCAACTTAGGTATGTTGTTCGTTTATTTGTTAATCTATGTTATTACAAAGTGGAAGTTTTTCTAATGGTAAAGTAGCTGCCTGGTAGGTGGTCATGTTTACATAAAGTCATTTTCTATAACTCTCCTCTCCAGCTTCTGTTTCCTTTCTTTCATTGATGCAAGGTAAGGTTTTGCCTTAGGCAATGAAGTCATATATGTATTTTGTTTTTAATATAAAAAGCTAAAATTAAACAAATATAGTTGGGGTAGATTTAGGTCTTTTCAGAGCTTGTTAAAATATCAACCTTACTTAATGTATAAATGTATGAGTAAACAGGCAATAGTCTAAAGAAAGGAGATTTACGAGGATAGTTATAATACATAATAACTATATGAGCAAAAAATAATAATAAACATATTTTTCAAAAGCATTTACAGACAGAAAAGTAAAAGTGACATTTTGAGCTATATTTTGGTGAGTAATTTAGAAAACAGATAAGTGTATATTTATATGCTACTCAAAATCTCTCATTCAGGGGAGGCAACTACTGTGAAAATATTGATATGAAAGTAACCAAGATTAAGTAATATTGTAAAAAAAGACTATCAAATAGCTTCAGAAAGAGATACTGAAGTTCTCTGAAAAATATTTTAGAAACAAAGTTTCAATCTAACATTTTTAACTGTAATGATTAAAATATATAATAACTATTTGATTATTTTCAGAAGCAAGGGAAATGTAAATCATGCCAGCATGGTCTTTTCCTATACAGAATTTCTTTTATTGGAGATAAAAATTAATTGAAATTCTTTAATTAGTAACATTATTATATAATAATTTTTAAAATTATGTTTTACTCAATGTTGATACTTTCAAGGCAGTTTTAAAAGATTGGCACTATCAAATGGTAAATTAATGCCTTATAGTTCATCTTGCAATAATATTAAAGTTTCCCAATTTAAAAGGATTTTACAAGTGCTATAATTTTATTTAAATGTTTTAATAGATACTGAAGGTGAAAATTTATTATCTTCAGACAGTCAAGATAATAAAAAGATAGAATATGTTTATTTTTGAAGGCTAAAAACTGTATTAACAAGTTTAATCAATTTGAAAGAATTGAGAACATTTTAATGTAAGAACTTTTAAAACTGTTTTAAATATGCAATCTGCTTTGACTTAAAATAGACATATTGATTATACACTTAATTAAGAACTTCCTCATATATCTCAAAAATATTCTTTGAAAAGTCAGATAGCAGCAGCTCCTAATAGCACATGATACTTTTATAATATATGTTGCTTAATGTGCTCTGCTCATTTGCTCTCAGCAGTGCTAGCATGAAGGATAAGGTGCATAATAAATCATATGTTTCATGTTACCAGAGACAAAGCTCTCATTATTAAGTTTTAGTAAGTCATCATTGGTTGCTCTAATCAGGTGTCCTGGACACCTTTGCTTTGACATATAATTAACAGGTTTCATTTGAAACTTTCAAGCCATTAAAATATAGCTTAGTTCTAAATTTGTTTGATTGCTTTTCCTTCTTTAAGTGGCATGCAAATGTGGCTCATGATATATTTTTACTTTGTAGCAATTTCTAAAGCATTATTCAATAATTTAATTTTACTATTTTAATAAAAAATGTCAATCTAGCATGATTTACATATTCACAAAATAAATCACTGAAAATATCAGTTCAGGTCATCTAAAGTCTGTTACGGAAGAGTGTGTTATATTATATACTTTAAAAAACAATAGCCCAGTCATAAATCTGTTCTAATAAAATATTTTATTATATTTGAATATTTTGATCATTCACAAAAGAAGTTTATCTGTGTTTTAGAAAGGAATTAAGTATGATTTTGAACCTATATGCCATTACTTTTTATAAATCTATGTAGAATAAGACAACCAAAACCAATAATAAATAGTTTTATTCAATGACTTCTAGAACCATTTTGATCATTTAAGAATGATTATATTTTTAAATCAATGTAATTTTGGTTATATTGTTTGGATTATAATAACTAGTTCATTAAATACACCATGAAAAATATTCATTTTACCCTAGAGAAATAATTGGATATAAACTTCAGAAAATTTTTATTTATTTTTTATCATGCTTGAACTGCTGAGTAATGATTTATCTTCAATAATAAACCATATTGATCTTTTTAAATTTAATATTCCAAACTAAATTTACTGATAAATTAATTCTGATACTAAATTTTCCTACTAGTCTCTGAGGAAAATTGAACCTCAATTTCATTTTATTATCCCCAGACCATGCCTTCTAATATATCCAAAAGTTGCAACCTATCATTACTTAGTAAAAAGGTTTTCTGTATTTCTTTCATGATAAAATAGGTCAAAGTGTACTTAGAATAAGGTGACACTGTAATGTCATTGTTAACTGCACTGAGAATTTGAGTGTCCTTATGTACCATTCATTAGCAAATATCTGCAACTTGTTTCATGTTCTTATAAGACTCAAGAGAATTTTATTTTATATTTTAGTATCTTAAAATATATGTATATTGTAGGGACTAAGGGCAAATGACCAAATTAACAATAGGCAAGGGATTTGTATTGAGGAAGTCACCTGGATATTTAAATATGTGAAAAGAATCTGTTGACATTTCACATAATAAGATAAATTATATAAAAAGGATCTAGTAACATCCTTTTTATGAATGCTTGCCTGTGTCATTTCAAGTCAAATAATAGATTTTCTACAATTATCTTGTCATTCAGGAAGACATTTTTTTCCAACATAAGTTTTGCTCATCAAGAACAATTAAACTTATTTTAAACTCTGAATCATATTTAACAAAATATCTATTTAAAAAAATGTCAGATGAAAATAATTTTTTGTCCATAAGTGAAAAACAATTTAGAGTTTACCAAATGAAAAAAATAAAATGTGAAGAAATTGTGTGAAGATCAATATAAACAACTAACTATGAAACTCAACACATTATTTTGACCTTTAAATTATTGTAGTGATTTGTTTATTTTTAAGAAACAAATGTTATATAGTAATTGTGTGAAGAGAAGCTTTCCACTCTATTCTATGCATTATTCCTAGGCCAACTTTAGTCAGTCTCACAGTATCTAGCTTTTACAGGTAGACTTCTCTGATTTGTCCTGAAAACTACTGAATATCAGTGAATTTTTTTTTTCTTAGTCAATGCTACAGTACTTTGTTAGAAACAAAAATGTGTTTATGGTAAATTTGTTCTTTTTTAGCCATCTCTTTTTCAAAAATGTTAAGGGTTATATATCAAATACCTATGCAGATAAAAGGAGTTACTTGGTAATTTCCTTGTAATATTTAAGTGTATCTTCTGTTTATATATACATAAACATGTAGAGCATTTCTAAGATCTTTTAGTTAGAAATTGATATTGGATTACATGGTGATAGTATAATAAACATGACAAGGTTGTAGATGTTTTAGAGGAATTACAAAAAACAGTAAATACAGGAAATTTACATTTATATCATTCCTAGTCTCCATGTATTTTTCTGATAAAGAAGAACTTTGGGTTTATTAATGGTTTTCGACGGACTTGATCAGTTGGCTTAGAGTCAAACACTTAGATATATTTTAAAACAATATATTAATTCTCAAGCAGAAAAATATATAAATGTAATGCTTACATGTATTTATTTTATAACAATATATTTAGCATGCTAAGATATGAAATTTAAAAAATATTCTTTCAAAACTTTAAATTAACCCTTCTCCTCTTGCTTCCTCAAATCATTAAACTCTTCTGGCACTAGAAGAAAAACAAAACAAAACAATGCTTATGTACTCTGTTGAAAGATTTGAAAGACATCATTGATATTTATTGTTGTTTTTGGCTGACTCAAGTGCCCAGTGGAGAGGAATTTATATACAGATCTACCTAAAGATGCCTATCTATGTCGTGTCTCCAACAGGGTTATTAACACTTGTGTAACATAAACATGTCCATAAACACATGCAAGATTTTTTTTTTTTTGAGGGTGAAGGAATGGGATGGGAGGAAAGATAATCTAAATCCATTATGGTACATATTCCTGGATTATATCTGGAATCACAAATGCTAATATTGGCAAAAAAATATCATTCTTTAAAACTCTTAACTTCTGAAGAGAGAAAAAGTTGCTATGGGTGGAGAGCTCTCTCCTTCAACAACCTGTTGCATTCATCAGTGTGACCAAAGGGACTCTTGTTTTCCTTGAAATGCATCTTATTGTCCAATGATGGGCATGGCGGCAGAGATAGCTACCATCACAGTTTAAGTAAAAGCTTTTTGCAAGTTTTAATGGACACTCACAAATAGCCAGTGTAAACGTTTAATAAAAGTAACAGCAGGAAGTAGGAAGATATGATAACATCCTCTAGAAAGGCTTGGGAATACTTCACCCACCACCTCCCCAATGCCTTCCCTTTTATTCTTTCATTTTTAAAAATATCACCTCCCTCTCTCCTCTTCCTCCCACTCCTCCCCCTCCCCCCTCCCCCCTTTTTTTCTTTTCCTCTTTAGTTCTGTGGTCTCTCTAGCCCCAGGCTCTCTTGGCACCCTTCTCCTTACTGCCCCCACCCTTCCTGGGATCTGCCTTTGGTCCTAGTTTCTTCATAGCTGGAGGCTTAGATTAGCTGAAAAATCAATTAGTTACAGAGTGATCATTTAGGTACAGTCTCCTGTTTTCCCTTTAGCTGAGAAGGAAAGGTTATGATGTGCCAATTACAGCCTCCACCCATCAGGAGCAAAGCTCCCCAGGGCATGAGAATTGCTCTGTTGCCATCCCTTGTAATTGTTGCTTCTACCATCCCATTCTTCTTTGCCTCCTCACCTCTGCCTGAGGATCCCACTGACAGAATTTAATAGAACATCAATTAAAATTTAAAAGGGGAAGTTTAAGGGAAAGTTTTTTTAAAAAAAGGGTAAACATGCAACATTAAACAAAAACTACAAAACAGAAACTCTAATCAAAAATGTGATTCTCTTTTAGTTTATGTGACACTTTTG